TGTCCCATAATCTATCCACATCCTATTTCACTTGAATTAAATCTTATTAAAGCTGGGGTACCTAACTTTCAAACCACAAATAATGGAGCTCCAAGTCAAATCCATCTTGATCCTTGCTCAAACTAGTGATTGTTTGGTTCAATCACTAGTTTTCAAATTTTCTAAGAACAAAGCATTAAAAAGGGAGTATCCCCCTCACACAGGTAATGAGATAAAGCTCTTGCATCAATTACTGACTTTCAGGGCTCTTTGTTGCATTTTTTTATTTTTGTTTTAGTTTTGTTTTCCATTCATTTTCTTCCGCTTCATCCCTTTCTGGGTTGCAGGGGCAGCAGTCTAAGCAGAGACACCCAGACTTCCCTGTCCACACACACTTCATCCAGCTCATCCATGGGACCCCATGGCGTTCCCCAGTCCAGCTGGGAGACACAGTCCCATTTTGTTTTGTTTATATTTCCTAATGAGCAAAGCCTTTTGTGGTGTGATTGATAAAAAAAAAAAAAATCAGGCTGGACTACCAGACGAGACGTCATCCCTGCTACTCTGACTCCTCCCCCTCTGCACACCTGAGCTCAACATCAGCCTCAGCTGATAAATAAAAATTATAAAAATATTGTTTTGAGACAGATTGAATTATACTTTTTTGCAAGACTATACTCTATGTATTTGTATTACTATTTTTGAGTACATTTACTTAACTAAATCATATTCTATTTTTACAGCTTTTCATGTGAACTTTACAATTTATTAGTGTGCGATTTTCTAATTTCTTACTGTACGGACCTGTGCAATAACTGTGCATTTGTGCTTTTACTAGTGATACACACTGTTGTTATCTTTTGTCTGAATTAATGTATCAAATCAATGTATCGACTGCAGGCGGTGAGACGAAGGTCTATGAGGACAATAAAGTTCATTGTGTCTTATCTCATCTCGTTTATTTGAAAAAGGGTACCCCAGATTTAATGTTATGTCAAATTATCACAGATTCTGTGAACCAGATTTTGATTCATTAACCCATTCCAAGGAGCACACATCCGGTAATAATGTAAGATTTGAGATATATTCGCTACATTCGACCTCATCTTGGCCGACTTTGCCTGTTTCTATTCCCAGCCTCTCACTCATACAGTTCAATCTTAGCCGCTAAATATCAGTTGCTATTTATACCCATTACAAACACTGTAGCTGCAGCTCTAACAGCCATATGACCTCACCTCCGTGGATGTCATCCCACCCCTGCAGGGCGCTGCTGTGGGTCGGGTGTGTACGAATGCGGTCACTGTTTGAGTCATGATTATAGACTCATCCCAAATCATTAAAGGTGTGATGAGCTCAGCGCTTCTGTGAGTGAGGTAGCCTGAGCCGGGATCCAGGTGTGCTTCTGTTTATTATGTGGAGGAATGCTGTTGACAGTGATAGTAGCAACTGCAAGTGGAGCAGCAGGCGCAGGTCGGGTCACTTTGACAATCTGATACTGGCTTTTACTCAAACAAGAGAGGAGGCGTAAGCGCTGGGCTGTTTGTGTGGTGATTGCCCTAACAACAGGTCCTGGTCACCCTTGCTCTCAGAACTCTTTCTCACAATGCAAAGTGCTGTAATGGACGTTATAAAACACTTGTATGTGAAGGCTACACGTGTATTTACTAATAGATAGAAAAATCAGAATACACCTTAGAGACAATAATAATATCAAGTGAAACTCATAAAATTTGAATAATGTTCCAAAGTCTATTTCCTTCTGTAATTCAGCTTACAATTTGAATGTATTTTATGACAGGCACAATGTACATGCAGTGAGATATATCAAGCCTTTGTTTGTTCTAATTTTGATAATTAGACAGTAGAATTTGTTTATTTATTATTTTATTCATTCATTTTTATTTTTATTTTTTTTTAACCTGCACAACACTTATTTTTATACATCAATAAAACAGACAAATATGGTTTGTACCTGGTTTGAAAAGGGATTGGATGCAGCTATTGTCGTGAAGATTGAATAAATGAATAAACTAATATAGTAAAAAATAATTGCGTCACAGCTTGTAAAAACCTGTTAAAAAAGTAAAAAAGTAAAAAAATTTAAATAATTGAACGTATTCCAAATGCACTGTAAGCCATAATCATAATGAAACAAAGGCTTGACATACAGTATGTCTCTTTCCATGTGACGAGATCAACTCGTGTTTACCCCCATGATCTCAGACATGTCAACAACAACTGCAAATACAACATTTGCTGTTTGAGAGGCAGGGTTTAATTACAATAACATACAAAATATAGGGGTTTTTTTCATGATAGAAAATCATGTCTGAAATAATGGATGTGCCTTCTATTAAATGCACATTCATTATAATGAATTTCTCAACTTCAAAAAATGTGAAGGCACAAATGTTTATGTTTTTGCATGTGTTTAATGTCTCCTTCTGGTTGACGTATTAGATTTGTGTATGAATTAGGCTTTACGAATTAACTTATCGCCACTTTCTAAATTTGTATCATTTCACCTCATTTGCACTATGTGTCCTTGTTTATTCCGTAACCTTGACCACGGCATCGACCATGAGAATCTCCCTGCTCTTCAAACCCAAGAAGGTATAAATGATGCATGCAGCAGTCCGCCACTGCAGTACTTAGATTAGCATCACCTTACACCAGTGCAATCCCCAACCCTTTGCCTACAGCTCCATATGCAGCTCCAGCCTGAACCAGCTGAGCCATCACATCACACACAGAGAGAGAGAGGGAGAAAGAGAGAGAGAGAGAGAGAGGGGGGGAGAGGTGGGTGGTGGAGGGTGGGGCGAGAGAGGACCATTGCCTGCCGGCTCATCATGTAACATCATCCCCGCTGTGGTTACCGTAAACGAGAAGAGGAGATTGTTGCACTGCTCGGCCGGGGGAGAGGCCCGTGTGGCTCTGGGGAGATGGGCGGGGTCTGTATCTCTCAGTCACTTACAGTCCGCTGATGGGTGTGGGAATCGGAGGGGATCCCGATATGGGAGAGCGTGACTGTAACCGCTGAAAGCAAGCAGTAAATGGTAGCGATGTACTTGCAGATAACTGTGTGCACTGTCCGTCATGTCAATACATTATAGCCCGATACATTCTGGGTAATTATTGAGCGATGTGAGCAGTATTTATGGCTAATGTACGATGTTTGTCTTTGGCTTAAATGCGTCACCTTGCTTGTTTACATGCCCAAGTGGAGTGTGGAGTTTGCCATAATTGATTGACTTTTTCTGGTTTCGGGTTTTGCCATTCAAAGCCTTTGTGTAATTTTCACAATTTGTGTTGCATAAATCAACAATAACGTTAAGGGAATATAAAAATGCTAATATTAAATGCATATCTTCATACACAACCAGGTGTTTCACTGGTCTATGGGCACGTTTTTTTTATGAAATGAGCTCAATTCATCATCTGATACTAGTGAAGAAGTTGACAAACGTCTGGGATCGTGTCTTTAATTCAGACAAAAGACATGTTTTATTGTCATGGTAACAGCATGCAAGTGGCAATATACAGCAGGGAGGAATGAAGTCCTCCAATCAGCAGCTGCCACAGTGTTGCTTGTAGCTTCAACCTTGAGTTAACCAAAACAAGGGAAAAGTATGCAAATGTTAAAACGATGAGTTAGAACTTTAACTACAGTGTTATGAAATCACTACACTAGTCATACCAGTCACTTACTTACTACCATTTATGTGGGAGTATCAAATGAATGATTTCTATTAGACATATAAACTTTTTGTATAAGCACACTTGGATGTTTGCCAGTCAAAACGATCACTTCTGGGGCATTTAACTTCAAGGGAAACAGTAAAGCTGTATGTAAGCTCCTCACTCATCATAATCTTCATGAATACAATCCTTCCGTAAACTTAATAGCCCATGTTTCATCGGTCTGATCACAACATCTAAGTTAACTTAACAATGAGTATAAATGCACCACTGATGGAGAATAGCTTTCCAGTGGTGCAGAAAGGAAAGTGAAGATGTGTGGTCTGTGATCTTCTCATGAAAGCTATTTTTTGCATGCAAACATTTGTAATTCATCAAATGTTTGCTGCAGAGATGTCAGGCGTCTTTCTTCTCCTGCAATCAAGACACTTCCCTGTTTTCACTGGTATTTGTACACGCAGATTTTGGCCATTGAACCCTCCCATTACAGTATGCAGGTTACAACATACAATATCAGACATAGACTTAAGTATGCTGTCATCATTTCTGCATTTGGAGCAACCTCAGTGCAATGTCATGGTCTTTTTCCCCTGACCATTACATCTGGGTTGTGAGTCTCTCCACTGTCTAAGTAAGTAGTAGTAGTAGTAAGTAAGTAAGTAGTAAGTAATGTTTATTTACCAAGGTCACCCAAAGCGCTTTACAATGTTCAGAGTTCAGATATTGTTCCAATCCTTCCACACACGGTGATGACGGAATCGAGTCGCCGAACACACTGGCGCAGCAGGGAGCTGTACCAGTCCATCAAAATGTACTTTTGTATTAGTGCAGCTGTTTGAGGTGGGACCAGTCCTCACATCTTAACTTTTACAAACGCAAAAGGTTTGGGGGTCTTAGGGGGGTAACAAAACTGGTTTAATGTGTGTGAGGTGGAGTCACTACAGCCCTTTACAAGCAGCTACCAGGCCAATGTCCAGGTCTGGTTGGTGTTGTCCACCACCTGCAACATTGTATCCCCATAAGAAAAGGTCTGGTCCTCTTTGGGGAGCGTTATGTCACCTCACCACGATGCGATTCAGCTCATCTTTGTAGATACTAGATTGCTGGATGGTTTTAAAACGCAAAAACTTCAGAGCCAAGGTAGGTAGGTGTGCACACAATCGTCCTCTCTCATGGTGCATTCTCTGATCTCCTGCTGATGCTGGAGGGTCTAAGGACAGAGGTAATGATCCAGGACACTTGACTATCGTGAACTGTGGAGTTTATGTATATATTCGACTATACACACAATCTCTGCAACCTCCTTAATAATAAGTAAATTAGCAAACCCCAGAAGGTTCACTGGTTTCTGAGGTTACACAGGCGGGACGATTAGCCTGACTCGACCCCTCTTGAGATTCGCCCTGCTTCAGCCGTCGGTCAGCGGAGAGATGAGACCCTTCCTCTCTCGCTGTCTGCGGCCTCCTCAAGTTAGGGCCCGCCCCTGTGGTTCTTGGCTCTTGGTATGTGGTCAGGTGATGGTTAGGTGGCCAGACCCTGGCCCCCAGGACGATGAATGGTGGATAGCAGCTGTAAATAATCTACAGAGAATGATTTGAAAAACCTCTAGACCTTAATTTAACATTTATCAGACTTGTTTCCATAAAGATGACAATAGAGAAATAATTTTAGGTAATTTTATTGCAGGAATGAATATGTATAATTTCCAAAAGCACAGCAAATGCAAAATCAATGAGTAATACAATTTAAAGATCCAAAATAATGCGAATACAACCTTTCGGTGCCTGTCCCAGCCCCCACTTCCTCTTTTTCGCTCTCAGCCGCTGCCCGGCTAGAGCCCTGTGAGGCTGGTTTTCGGAACTCTGTGAGAGGGCTCTCGTAAATCACGGCCGTTCTCCTTCTGTGTGTAATTCTTATTTTAGCAGACAAAGGAGCCAAGGAGTGCGAAGCGAGCTCTCTCTCCTCTCCCTGACTTTGTCAATCTGCTCAGCAGACCGAGCCTCCGCCGCCCAAGGCCCGAGAAATGGGGCCTGGTGTACTGGGTTTCTCCAACCCAGCGCTCGTCGCCTCTGTCTGCTGAAGCAGGGAGATTTTTCCACAGCCCTCCGGCCGTAAATGTATCTCCTGAAGTTGCTGGCTGATCAAATGCCAGGAGATGAAGGGGACTGCGTCTGATTCTTGGAGGTTGTTCCCAATCCTGCTCCGCGAAGAGATCTCGTCGTCTTTCGTCCGACACTAGTTTTTATAGTCCTCCAAGATTATACGCATGCCCAAATTTGGTCTTTCCCCTTTGTCACTTTCCTATGATGATGTAACCATTACGCCTCTGCTTCCTTTGTTCGAACCTTCTAGACTTACGAAAGGCCTCTCCCACACAGTTCCTCAATCAAAACTTCTCATTCAGTTTGTAATACACATGAAAGTAAAACATTTCAAAATACAAAGCATACATTCATGATACTTCTGGTTACATGAGAATATAAAACATATCATAATCTACTGTGATATAAAAACTCTCAGTACAGCCCGCAGAAAGCCCCACTTTACCCCTCATGTCCAACTTCTGATCAAATTCATACTCCTGATACTTGACACCCCCTCCTATGCAATTTTAGCAGAAGTTTAAGCTATCAACTCATGACTATCACTCTCTCAAAAGTCAAAACCGTGAGGGGGGGAGAGATCAATGAAATCCAACATTCCCTGACCTTCAACCCTGGGACCCTCGAGAGGCTGCTCCTTCCTCTGGCCTTCAGCTGACCTCTTCCGTATCTCCTCTGTTTCCTTGCGTGGCTCTCGTCTCACCAGCGGACGACCGCTCGCTGGTGGCCATGGGTTCTGTTTCTTTCGATGTCTGTGGTCTGCGTGCTGCTTGCTCGACCCCCACATTCTCAGCTCTCTCTCTCGGTGTCTCGCCTTCTCTCTCTCCAAGCGGTGCTTCTCCTGGCTCTGAAGTTTCACAAGGGTTGGCTCTGGTCCCGTAACAGGGACACTGCTTTCCCTGGCCGGCACAGTCCTCTGTGCAGGCTCTGCTTTCCCAGACTGCTGAGGCTGGGTCAGATCCTTCACTCCCAATTCTGGTTCCGGTTCGACAGCGGAAGCGACAGCTGTCAACAACTCCAGTCCCTGGAGTTGCAGTGGTGGGTATGCTTTTGTAGCCAAAAGCATCCTACCATCCGTACTGTCATGGACAGAGTGTATGGTGGCGTCGTCTGGCCCGACCCAAAACTTTGAAAAACAGGGTGTAAAACTTTCGATGGTTGTTCTTGGCATGCACGCAGTGAGCGCCGCAGTTGACCAAGTCACTCGCCATCCTGACTCTAAAATATATGCCAGCATGGGTGGCACCGCTGGAAGTCCTGGCTCCCTGCCACTCTGCCTGGTACTCCCGTCCAGCGTTTTTAATTAGTCTTCTCTGAAATTGTTCATTCAGTGAGTTCATGTCGGAGTCCACCATGACTACAAGACAGTGTCCGTCAATGTCAAATATGTCACCGACATATCTGTACATTACACGCCCTGCCGGATCTTTCCACTTAACTGTGCCCCTCGGCATTTTTTCCAGTTCAGGCAGCCATTCTTCTTCATGAATCTCACAGGATCGTGGGACAGGGGTGGGTCTGTTCCTCCCAGGCCCCTGTGTTGCCCCTCTAGATGGTATCACATTTTCAAGGAGGCTTTTTAGCCCCATTGTTTCTTTACTTCGTACAGATTTATGTGCCTCCTTCAAACGCTCCTCAAGAATTCGAGGTGTTTGTGAGACCTGTTCCAGTTTCGTTGGCAATGAGATCATATCTGGCAGGCGTGGGGGGGTCACCTCCGTGAATTCCCCACTCCACTCTCTCCCATGCTCCGATGCCTCATCTGAGCTTCTGTACGGCTGCTCGTCAAGCTGTGAGCTGCTCTCCTCCACTTCCTGTTTTCCGGCCGCATACTGTCTGAGGCCTGCCAGTTGCTTCAACAGCCCTTTGTGTCCTTTGTGCCGTGGCACTGCTTTCATTTTTTCTGATACCAAAAGTGAGTTTATGCTACACTCACGGGCAATCATTTTCACCACTGGATCATATTCTTGGCTCGGGCTCACCAACGTATCTACTAGAATACGCTGGTCACCCGCTCCAATCACCAGTTCTTGTAAAGCCCACTCAATCCATATTTTGATGTTCTTTTTGTCCCTTCCATGCTTCGGGGACGGCACAACCCGCACTGCGATCTTATTTTCGACCACAGGCGTGTGAAATGTCTTCCCGTCATCACAGTGTTGTTTTATTTCTTCATATATTTCTCTGTCCCCCCACTGAGGACATCTCTCTTTCACATGCTTTCTTACTACTGGTTCCCAGGTGTCCCATCCACCTCCCCAGGGAATCAGATGGTAACTGACCCCCAGGAACCGTGCTTCAACTCCTTCTGCTTCTGCAATATGTGTGTGTGCATTTTCACCATTTTCTTCGCTCTGCGCAGACTGCTCATCTGCGGTCGCCGCTACTTCCTTGTTCGGCTTTTCCATTCTTCTCTTCACTACCTCTTTTCGAGGCTTTGTATTTCTGGTGGCTGAGTTTGAGCTTTCTGCCCAGGGCCCTTCCCGTCGGAATTCGGCCCGGGGGTCTAGCCCCTAGGTCTCAGGCGGACCGCACTGAGTGTTCTCTCTCCAAGATTCACCCGCGGTCTCACCGGAACTCTTCCTGGCTCTGTCTTCTCACAGGCCCAGGACGAGGTGATGTAGTGTCTCTTCCTGTTGTACACAATACTCACCCCGAGCAGATCGTCTTTCTCTGACTCAATCCACTCTGTCTTCTTGTTCCACGATAATTTATGTAGCTCAGTCTTCGAGCTACCAGATTCTGAGGCCCGGCTCTCAGGGCTTCCTGTGTTTACACAGATGTTTCCTGTTGCGCCAGCCCCACGTTGGGCGCCATATCGTGAACTGTGGAGTTTATGTATATATTCGACTATACACACAATCTCTGCAACCTCCTTAATAATAAGTAAATTAGCAAACCCCAGAAGGTTCACTGGTTTCTGAGGTTACACAGGCGGGACGATTAGCCTGACTCGACCCCTCTTGAGATTCGCCCTGCTTCAGCCGTCGGTCAGCGGAGAGATGAGACCCTTCCTCTCTCGCTGTCTGCGGCCTCCTCAAGTTAGGGCCCGCCCCTGTGGTTCTTGGCTCTTGGTATGTGGTCAGGTGATGGTTAGGTGGCCAGACCCTGGCCCCCAGGACGATGAATGGTGGATAGCAGCTGTAAATAATCTACAGAGAATGATTTGAAAAACCTCTAGACCTTAATTTAACATTTATCAGACTTGTTTCCATAAAGATGACAATAGAGAAATAATTTTAGGTAATTTTATTGCAGGAATGAATATGTATAATTTCCAAAAGCACAGCAAATGCAAAATCAATGAGTAATACAATTTAAAGATCCAAAATAATGCGAATACAACCTTTCGGTGCCTGTCCCAGCCCCCACTTCCTCTTTTTCGCTCTCAGCCGCTGCCCGGCTAGAGCCCTGTGAGGCTGGTTTTCGGAACTCTGTGAGAGGGCTCTCGTAAATCACGGCCGTTCTCCTTCTGTGTGTAATTCTTATTTTAGCAGACAAAGGAGCCAAGGAGTGCGAAGCGAGCTCTCTCTCCTCTCCCTGACTTTGTCCATCTGCTCAGCAGACCGAGCCTCCGCCGCCCAAGGCCCGAGAAATGGGGCCTGGTGTACTGGGTTTCTCCAACCCAGCGCTCGTCGCCTCTGTCTGCTGAAGCAGGGAGATTTTTCCACAGCCCTCCGGCCGTAAATGTATCTCCTGAAGTTGCTGGCTGATCAAATGCCAGGAGATGAAGGGGACTGCGTCTGATTCTTGGAGGTTGTTCCCAATCCTGCTCCGCGAAGAGATCTCGTCGTCTTTCGTCCGACACTAGTTTTTATAGTCCTCCAAGATTATACGCATGCCCAAATTTGGTCTTTCCCCTTTGTCACTTTCCTATGATGATGTAACCATTACGCCTCTGCTTCCTTTGTTCGAACCTTCTAGACTTACGAAAGGCCTCTCCCACACAGTTCCTCAATCAAAACTTCTCATTCAGTTTGTAATACACATGAAAGTAAAACATTTCAAAATACAAAGCATACATTCATGATACTTCTGGTTACATGAGAATATAAAACATATCATAATCTACTGTGATATAAAAACTCTCAGTACAGCCCGCAGAAAGCCCCACTTTACCCCTCATGTCCAACTTCTGATCAAATTCATACTCCTGATACTTGACAAGAAGAAACAGGGAAAACTATTAATCTGTCGTTTTTGTTGTATGGACATTTTTCAACATGTGTTCTATATTCTCTCTGTGTTTTAACTGTTGATTCTCTGATCTGTGTTGGTGATTTCAATGGTTTAGTTAAGTCCTCTGAGATGACTTCTGTTGTGATTTAGGGCTATACAAGAATAAATTGTGTTGTATTGTAATTGTATTGAAAATTTATATCAAACTAATTAAAACCTGCAGCTTCAGAAACAACAGGTTTTCACTCGAGCATATATTATAAAGTTACGTTTTGACAACATGTAGGTTATGAACACAAAGCACAATGTATATTAAAGCTAAGAATAAAATCAAAATTATTACAAAATCGTGTGAAATGTTTATTAATTTAATGTACTGCACAATTTTCAACCGTTTCATCAAAATAGTTTAACTTCACTTTTATGGATTCTGTTCAAACCTCAGAGGTCTCAGAGAGTGGGGGGGCTTCTACAGGGGGAAAAACATTGAAAGTCAACTTGAAGTGCTTTTTAGCTTGGAATCATAATTACATCCCTCTTTCTGGTCTCTCTCTTAGGTCTCTGGTCTTTCTCTCTGCTTTGTCTTTCTGGTCTTTCTCTCTCTTTGGTATGTATTTTCTCCCTTATCTGATATCCATGTCCCCCCTCCATCGGGGCTGGCTTGCTCCTGGCTGACCCCCCTGACCAATCCAGTGGAACCTGGGAGTAACCTCACAGCCAGTACATATCCTCTTAACATCCACCCGCCCACCGGGCGGACTCAGGTGAGTCCAGTTTTAACCTGACAACAAGATATGGAAATATAGGAAATAGGTGGAGTCATCTGTGCTCCTGCTCTGTTTGTAACTGTTGGAAGTACAACCTGCAGCCACATGGCCCTTTCTGGAACCGGTTTGAGACCCCTGATGTAGAGGGCCCAAGTGGAGGAGAAGCCTTTTAGTCTCATTTTGAGAAATATGTTTACAGTGGATAAACATATTTGCCAAGAAGATAGTGAAGTGGGAGCATTTCTGATCACCAAAACAACTAAAATGGTTTTATAAATAAAATAATTGAAATTGGACATGGGAAAATCTTCATGAAGTAAAAAATATACCTTGAACCTTTCAACATTTCGCCACATTTCAGGCTTCAAACATAAAGATATAAAATTTAATTTTTTTGTCATGAATCAACAAAAAGTGGGACACAATCGTGAAGTGGAACGAAATTTATTGGATAATTTAAACCTTTTTAACAAATAAAAAACTGAAAAATGGGGCGTGCAATATTATTCGGCCCCTTTACTTTCAGTGAAGCAAACTCACTCCAGAAGTTCAGTGAGGATCTTTGAATGATCCAATGTTGTCCTAAATGACTGATGATGATAAATAGAATGCACCTGTGTGTAATCAAGTCTCCGTATAAATGCACCTGCTCTTTGATAGTCTCAGGGTTCTGTTTAAAGCGCAGAGAGAACCATGAAGACAAAGGAACACACCAGGCAGGTCCGAGATACTGTTGTGGAGAAGTTTAAAGCCGGATTTGGATACAAAAAGATTTCCCAAGCTTTAAACATCTCAAGGAACACTGTGCAAGCAATTATATTGAAATGGAAGGAGTATCAGACCACTGCAAATCTACCAAGACCCGGCCGTCCCTCCAAACTTTCATCTCAAACAAGGAGAAGACTGATCAGAGATGCAGCCAAGAGGCCCATGATCACTCTGGATGAACTGCATATAACTACAGCTGAGGTGAGAGAGTCTGTCCATAGGACAACAATCAGTCGTGCACTGCACAAATCTGGCCTTTATGGAAGAAGGAAGCCATTTCTCAAAGATATCCATAAAAAGTCTTGTTTAAAGTTTGCTACAAGCCACCTGGGAGACACACCAAACATGTGGAAGAAGGTGCTCTGGTCAGATGAAACCAAAATCGAACTTTTTGGCCACAATGCAAAACGATATGTTTGGCGTAAAAGCAACACAGCTCATCACCCTGAACACACCATCCCCACTGTCAAACATGGTGCTTTTCTTCAGCAGGGACAAGGAAGATGGCTAAAATTGATGGGAAGATAGATGGGGCCAAATACAGGACCATTCTGGAAGAAAACCTGTTGGAGTCTGCAAAAGACCTGAGACTGGGACGGAGATTTATCTTCCAACAGGACAATGATCCAAAACATAAAGCCAAATCTACAATGGAATGGTTCACAAATAGACGTATCCAGGTGTTAGAATGGCCAAGTCAAAGTCCAGACCTGAATCCAATCGAGAATCTGTGGAAAGAGCTGAAGGCTGCTGTTCACAAACGCTCTCCATCCAACCTCACTGAGCTCGAGCTGTTTTGCAAGGAAGAATGGGAAAGAATTCCAGTCTCTCAATGTGCAAAACTGATAGAGACATACCCCAAGCGACTTGCAGCTGTAATTGCAGCAAAAGGTGGCGCTACAAAGTATTAGCGCAAGGGGGCCGAATAATATTGCACGCCCCACTTTTCAGTTTTTTATTTGTTAAAGTTTAAATTAACCAAAAAATGTCGTTCCACTTCACGATTGTGTCCCACTTGTTGTTGATTCTTGAAAAAAAAAAATTTTTTTAATATCTTTATGTTTGAAGCCTGAAATGTGGCGAGATGTTGAAAGGTTCAAGGGGGCCGAATACTTTCGCAAGGCACTGTAGGCCTGGCGTACGCACTGTCTGTTTTGTGTTCTGTGTGGTCTGTCTATATGTTTAATGTTAAGTGTTATGTGTTTCTGTTGGTGTTTACTCGTTTGTCCGTTCCGTCTCAGACTTGTCAAACCTAACAGACTTGGACATCACCACTACCAAAGCAGAATGATGATATAACATTGTTTTCCATAACCAAGGGGAGCAGAGTCTAATCATGATGGTTTTTCGTATCGAACAGGAGCTGAGGTCATCTATGTCCAAATAGTGGTGGTTTTATATTGTTCGTATGCTTAATCTCATATTTTTATCCAACAATTAGCAAATGGACCCGGAAGAGATACCGTAAATACAACGTGAACTAATACTTTGTTTGGAAAGATGGTGAAATCATAATAACACAATAAACATTATTTTACAGGTTTAATAAAAACATTATTTTACAGGATCTCTACCAAGTAAGGAGCAGGTAAACAAGGAAAAGAGACAAAATAGACCTTTAAGGAAACTACATAATCTTGGTAAGAATTCTTTTGCATATTTTATATGGGTTTCAATGGTGCTTTAATGTCCTG